ACAGTGAACATTTTAGTGCACTCCATTGCTTTGCAATTGAGCCTGCTTCAGCAAACGTTTTAGTCCACTTTATTGCTTTGCAATTAAGGCTGCTGCAGAAAAGTGCAGCAGCATCTCCGCGGGATTTATTAGTTAACCTGCTAATGGAGGCTGCTTGGAGCAGAAGAAATATCATTGTGAGGAAATGCTGTTAATGTAATAATAAAGAAAAATTTCGGGAACGGCTATGCCCTATGTACACAAAATGCAGAGATTCGTCCCAGCGCTACACTTGCATCTACGCATCTTAAAACACAGCACTTCATTTTATTAGTTTTTACGCAGTCTTCAACTCAAAAATCACTCACAAATTACAAATTAACACAGTTTAAACTGATTTTTCACTTATAATTCAAATTTCTCTTTCGCTGATTTGTAAACAAAGGTTTGTTTACAAGTTACCACAACGGTCAAAATCGGCAAAACCAAAGTAGCGGTACCACTGACGGCGCCACCTTTGTTCGCCGCACCGTGAATCAGTACTAATTTGTACTGGAACCTGCAAATTTTTACTGCAAAAGTGTATACTTAGTAACCCAAAAAATTTGCCAGAGAGCCCTGAATGGAGAGCGTAATAACACAGGAGAGCTGTAAATTCTTGCTAGTGAAATTTTTACCAGCAGAAGAAGAAGAAGAATGAATGTCAAAAGCTGTCATATGTTGAATTGGTTAAGCATAAACAAAAGTAAAATGAATGGAAATCAAAATATTAATGATGTACTGGACTGTTTAAGTGCTTGTGTCTAAAGCAAAGAGTTTAAAACTGATTTGTAACAGGCTAACCTAATATTCACGCACGCCGCCAATTTATTGTCAAAAATTTCTCATGCACATGCAACTTGTATGAGATCAACCGAAATTGAACGGCGTGCGTATGAAGCTAACTCAATTTCCAATTTTTGTTCTGCGTGACATTTTGATTTGACGTTTCGCTCAATGAAATCAAATGCAAACGCATGCAAGTCAATTTCGGGTGACGCAAAAAAACGAATTCGACGGCATGCGTACCAAAACGCAAGCCGCGAATATTAGGTTAGCCTGTAAGTAATTAGATGTTTACAACAGAATGTCAATACTGTGCAACAACTGTTCACTTGCAAGTTTTTATTAGTTTTGTGTTCAGTAACTTTTTCTGCTAGTTTCTCTTCTTATCAATATTACGCTCAATTTTGCTTTTACGCTCTCGCTGCAATCTTTTACTGGAGAAGTTACTATACAAACCTAATGTCAAACACACTCCCGCCACGACATGCACTTTCCGTTCGACTTTGACAGTTCAATACAGCTTTGGTGCGGAAAATTTCACTAAATAAAAAAATTTTAAACTTCTAGATTTCGCCTCGTATTCCTATGAAATGCTTGCAGCAGCTTTTAATTCAAACGATTTTCTACTATTTGTATATATGAACAAATAGAAGGACCGATATTGAACAGGCAAATGAACATTTGTTTGCAGATGGAGACGCCGAGTAATGAAATTGTAACAAAACGAAAATGATCAAATGTCGAATAAATCGATTAAAAAATTACATCTGCTCTACAAAATAAATGCGAATGGGAAACTCTGCTATATATGGACGCTC